GGGTACTGACTCAAGAAGTCGTAGGATACATGGACAGATCTGTAGCAAGTAAAGAAATTATTAATTTTAAAACTTTTCATAAATAAAAGCACACTCAGATGCTTTACTGATGAATTTTACCAAACATTTCAAGAACACTAGGGGAGCAAAGTAGGAAGAGTAAATAAAGTCCCTTACAAAAAGGAGACGACAGAGCATTTGTCAATTCATTCTACAAGGTAGGACCACTCTAAGGAATCAAACTACTAGAGAAATGCCGCTCTCTAGGAACTGTGCTGTTCGTGCTCCCTAAATGTCCTATACAAAAATCTGCAAAATTATACTGGCAATGAACAAAGAAGCCCTGGTCAGACAATCAGCTGCTCACTGAGAGGGGCAGCTCAACCTCACCAAGTGGTTCCGGAGGAGTGGGGCCTGGCAACTGTGTGACACAGTTGGTTGTTACAGGGTAAAAATCTACTCCTAGACACACTACCACCAATAAGCAATGTACAATCCAAAACCGAAAATTAAAACAAAAAAATCCATTCTAAGTGTTAATTGGTTTAGCAGAAGGGTTGGCAGTTTGGGTTCAAACTAGAAGCTCCTCTCTCAATGAGACGGACTGACACAGTGGCTGGAGCAATGGGCCTGGGTATATGAGGGACGGTGAGGACGGTACAGGGCAGGGCAGAGTTCATGTCTGCTAATCATCCCGTCGCTATGAGTCGTAATCAACTCAATGGCGTCTAACAACAAGAAGAGAAGCTCAGAGGCCAGACCTAGGGATCTGCTATCACAAGGTTATACAGTGGAATTGAAAATATAGGTAGTCACGAGTTGAATTCTACTTGTTAGTGGCTAACAACATCACCAACCTAAAACTTGTACTCTGAAAACTATTAAAATATTGTTGAAAGATTAAAAAAAAATACTGTTAAAAGAATTCCAAGAAGACTAAGTAGACAGGAAGACATTATATAGTCAGAGATTGAAGGATTTAATATTGTTAAGGTGGCGATACTGTTCAAGTAGATCTATCTATAAAATTCCTGCTGCCTTTTAAATAGACATTAGCAAAATGATCCTATTATTCACGTGGAGACCCAAGCAACTCAGAATAGCCAAAACAATCCTGACTGAGAACAAAGCTGGAAGGCCACTGTTCCTAATTTCAAAATTCACTACAAAGCTACTATGATCAAGACTGGTTCTGGCAAGAGGGCAGACATACAAGATCAATGGAAAATTAAGTGGGAGTCCATTAATTAGTCTGAACATTTACAGTCAATTGATTTTTAACAAGGGCATGAAGACAAATCGGTGGATTAAGAACAGTCTTTTAAAGCAAACAGGCCTCTGGGATAACTATATATGCACAAGCAAAGGAAGTGGGAGCGTTTCTTCAGGAATTTAGGTTGAAAAATTCATAGGCTTGAAATTATTGCAGGATTACTTAGAAATTAAAACAAAACAGAAGGCATTTATTGAGGGCTTACCATGTGCCAGGAACTGAGTGCTAAACTCATTATCTTCTAATCCTTATCCTAATCCAAGGAAGTTGGTAGGTGCCATCAGTCAACTACAGCTCATTTCAACCCTATCAACCATAGATCTAAACCGGCCGATGCTGGTCCATCCTCACCATCTCTGATGTATTTAAGCCCATTGTTATAGTCACTCTGAGAATCCACGTTGTTGAAGTCTTCCTCTAACTATTCATCTTTTCCAGCATGGTATCTTTTTTTCAAGGACTGGCTTCTCCTGACAACAAGCCCACAGTATCTGAGATGTTTCACCACTCTTGCTTCAAAGGAACACTCTGCCTACACTTCTCCTAGATAAGCTTGTTTGTTCTCTTGGCAGTCAATGGAATTTTCAGTACCTTTCCCCAACACCACAATTAAAAGGCCCTAGTTCATCTTCTGTCATCTTTATTCACTGCCCAACTTTAATGCATAAGCAACTGAAAATATGATGGCTTGGATTAGGGGCATCTTCTTAAGCCTTTAAACAGACATCCTTGTACTTTAGAACTCTGAAGAGGTCCTTGACAGCAGATTTTCCCAATGCAACACATCTTTCAATATCTTTACTGTTGGTATCAAAGATGATGATTATGGCTCTAACAAATTAAGATGAAATTGGTGACAATGTCAATCTTTTCTCCATATAGCAAGATGCTGCCTATTGGTCCAGTGGTGAATTTTTGTTTTCTTGATGTTGAGATATAATCCATATTGAAGACTATAGTCTTTGATCTTCTGCAGTTAAATGTTTCAAGTAAAAGAAGAACCAACCAAACAAAAAATTGTTTCAAATCCTCTGTAATTATAGCAAGGTTGTTTCATCTGTGTAATGCAGGTTGCTGATGAGTCCGCCTCTGACCCTGAAGCCACATTTTTCTCATACAGCCCAGCTTCTTGAATGATTTGCTCAGTAAAGTATTCCTTTGCTGTGTTTAGACAACAGCTTCTTGGTCTACACTTAGTTTGTATGAGCACAATTAAGTGTTTTTAGATTCCCATTCTTCTCAATGTTACCCATACTTTTTTTGTGATTCACAGTCAAATGACTCTGTGTAGTTAATATAACACATATCTTACTAGTATTCTCTGTTTTCAACCAAGATCCATTTGACCTTAGCAGTGATATCCCTTGTGCCACAGCCTCTTCTGAATCCAGCTTGAACTTTTGGAAGTTCCCTCCTAATGTACTGATCTAGCCTGTTTTAATATCTCTGCAAGATTTTACTTGCATGTCCTGTCAAATAGGTTTCAACTGGCAGTGACTCTGTGTCTCAGAACGAAATACCGCCCAATCCTGAGCCATCTTTCCAGTCGATTCTGTGTTTGAGCTCACTGTTACAGCCTCTGTGTCATTTCCTCCTGTTAATGGGCTTGTTCCTCTTCACTGAATCTCTACTAAGGATGATGTGCTTCTTGAGGGATGTGTCCTGATAACATGTGCAAAACACATGAGCCGAATTCTCACTTCCAAGGAGCATTTGGGAAGTTCTTCTAAGACAGATTTATTAGTTTTTCTGGCAATCCATGATATACTTAATGTTCTTCTCACCAACACCATAATTTAAGGTTATCAATATTTCTTCAGTCTTCCTTATTTACTACACAGCCTTCACATATATATGAGGCAACCGCGAAAACATCATGGCTTCTGTCAAGTGCACTTTAGTCTTCAAGATGCTCAAGTGTCAACAAAGTAGATACTATTAATAATTTCATTTTATAAATAAGGAAACTGAGACACACAGATTAAATAACTTGCCTAAAGACAGAAAATGTACAAATGGGAGAGCTTCTATTCCAATTCAGGGGACTAATTCCAAAATCCAGGAAGTTACTAAAGTTCCCCCAAAGTACACACTACTAGTGTTTCTAAAATAATTTACATGGAAGAAACTGGAACATTTTCTCCTTTTACTATTTATGTATTTTCTGCACATTGAAAAAAAAAATGTAACCAGCATTCCCCGTGTACTGACAAAAATATATATGTAGGGGAGCTCTGGTGGCCTAGTGGCAAGAAACTGCACTGCAATCCCAGAGATATGCGGTTCGAATCCACCAGATGCTCTGCCAGAAAAGGAGGGGCAATCTCCTCCTGTACCAGTCAGATCCGATTTGATGGTACACACACACACACACACATTAATAAAATTAAAAAAAAAATATGGATATACTGCTTTTTTTTACATTATTATTTTTTAATTGAGATTTTAATGAAAGTTTATAAAGAACTTGGATTTCCATTCATTCACTGTTGCACATTTTCCTCCCTGCTTCCTTTTCCCCAGCCCCAGGTCACGTTTTTCTTTGAAAAAAAGTTCTTTCATTGTATGTATTGCTTTAAGGTACTGCACTGACTGTGACTCAGGATGACCCTACGTGCAGCATGATGGAGCCCCAGCAATCCTGCCCCGGCCTCACGATCTCGGCTGTGGTGAAGCTCACTGGTGCAGCCTCTGGGCCACTCCATCTTGTTGGGGATCTTCCTCTCCTTTGCTGATCTGCTACTTTTCCAAGTGTGAAGTCCCTGTCCAAGGACTGCTCCTCCCCCTCCCCGACAACACACCTAAAATATTTGTGATCAAGTCTTCCTATCCTCTCTTATACCGACAATTCTGGCTGTAGAGTGAACTTTAATCTAGAGCATAATTACATTAAGTGAATACAACTATATAACAACAATTGCATAAAGTACATAAAAAAAGTCAACAATGAAAATAGAATAATGACCAACAGGAATTTCTTTTTTTTTAAATGTGATTTTCTACGGAGGTGAAATTTTGAATTCACTTGATTCCCGCCCCCCACCCCTGCCCCGCATCAGCGTTCCTGAAGCACTTTTCGTAAAGAAAAATGATAATTGTTTTGCTGGGGGATCCCCCCTCCAAAAAAAAAAAGCTTTCTGTCCTAATCTCTCAAACAGAATTGCTTTCTAACTCATAATTCCCACTGATTTATCACACATTTGCAAACAGCCCACTGTAGGGTGCATCTCTGATACTGAGTGAAATATGGAGTTCCTCTCCCCTTGGAAGTAAAGTTCTGACATTCATCAGATAGTCTTTTCCTTCAGTTTACCCTACTGTATCCTGAACCTCTAGGACCAAATGAGTTATCAATATAATTTTCACAAGCCAAAGAATTAAGTGGGCAGAATGGTTTATGTCAAGTCTTCTGAATGGGCAAAGGGTTAGGAGGAGGCCCCTCCTGTGGGTATCACAGTATGAACAACTAGCTGCCCATCTCTGCACCCCAACCAGGAAACTCCACTTGACAGAATGGAAAGAGCTCTCTCAATGTTTCCTTGTGAAGAAGCCTGCAGAAGTAAAGCCTGTGTGCAGACCCAGTGTCTCCCACAGCAGTCATCTGGAATGTCCTGAGACAGGACAATAAGCATGATTAGAGAATCCTGGGTGTCTTTAGCATGGTTTCTGATAGCTTTTTCCACGGTCCTTCCCACCTGCCCATGCATGTGAAGGTGCCCTCACCCACCTGTGCATGTTCCCGTTGGTGGTGAAAGATTGGCCACACACAGTGCATTTGTACGGTCGTTCACCAGAGTGCACCAGCATATGGCGGTCCAGGGAGCTGGCCGAGCTCAACGACTTCCCACAGATGCTGCAGGAGTGGTCAGCTCCTCCAGTGTCCGTGTTGTGCTGAAGGAAGTGAAATAAGATGGGCTAAAGACTCAGCTACAATTCAATGCAAATTCAGAACAGAAACAAAAACAAAGGGTTGTTCCTCAGCTATTACCAGCCCCCCTGTTTTTAAATATCTATTGTAAGGAACTGAGTCATGTCCCACAGTGAGATATGCTAAAGTCCTAACCCCTGAACATGACTCTGGGAAAAAGGGGACTGTCTCTGCAGATGAAATCAGTTAATTCATACTCCTAACCTACATGAATAAAGTCTTGTAAGAAAGGAGAACACACTGAGAGGCATATCACATAGAGAAGAGACACCAGCAAGCAAGTCAGGAATGCCTAGAAATGCCCTGGGTATCGGAAACAAAGAGACAAAGAAAGACCTTCCGCACACAGAGAGAGCATAGATCCAGAAAATCAGAGCCCTGATTGCACAAGCTGCACTGCAATCCCAAAGGTATGCGGTTCAAGGCCACCAGCTGCTCTGTGAGAGAAAGATGGGAAATCTTCCATGTGATTAACTGTCTACGGTAACCTGTTGGAGGGTCAACTGAGTCAGTTCCAACTCTATGATACACAACAACCCAAGAGCAGCCTCTAGAAAGGAGCTCTCGGAGCACTGTAGCTAAAGTATTCACTGCTCACTGACAGGTTAGAAGTGTGGATTGCCCTCTGAATGAAAAGCAAGCATCCTTAGCCTTAGCAAACCTATGAGGCAGTTCAGGGATTGCTCTCTGGGTGAAAAGTGAGCTTCCTTAGACGTGGCAAACTTATGGGGCTGTTCTACCCTATCTTATATAGTTTCTGTGAGTCAGAACTGACTCTACAGCAGCAGGGAGCCTCCAAAACTGGGAGATAAAAAAATGTCTGTTCTTAAAGCCAACTACTTTGAGGTACTCTGTTACGGCAGACATTGTCTGCAACACTGAAATGTCTCTGGAATAGAGGCAAATAATTTTGTTCCCCCTAATCATCTTCCACATCCATGTTCAAGGCTCAGAGATGGAAGTCTATGGTGATGTGGACCACAGACACCTATCCCTATGAGCAGGATCTTCAACTACAAGGCAGATGTGAAATATTATGAGTCACAGTCTTCAGTAACTCTATAGCTCATCCCTGCTGACTGAGGAGACCCAAACCTGCAGATACTGTAGAGTTTTGCCTCTGAAATAGATTAGGAAGAAAGTTTCTATCCAAGTCAGACTTGCTATTTTATTTAGTGCCAGGTTCTTCACTGTCCTATCCTCATCACCACTCTCATCAATCTGCCATACAAAAAGGAGGAGGGTAAAGCTCAGAATATGGGAGGAAACAAAACAAAAAACCTACAAACCAAGCATTTTCCAGCTGCAGGAAAACTATACCATTTAAATGATACAAATTAAATTCATATCAACATAAAGAAACAAGTCTATAGTAACAACATTATACTGACATCAGACTTATTCATAGTTTGCTATATACAGGAGAAATTACATGTGTGTATGTGTGTGTATATATAAAAATGTCTTAAAAATCTTAAAAAGAAAAAATCTTAAAAGGGTATCAGCACTGAACTCAGACTAACAATTACAGACATACACAGAATAATCATTCAACACTTGCTTGCCAACTTATTAAAATATTCAATATTAAGAAAACTCTTTTTTATTAGATAAAAACCCCTCATTGCTGTCAAGTTGGAACATATTCATAGCTGAGCCTGCAGTTGTATTTCCGAAGTTGTAAATGACATTGCCAGGGAAACTCTTCAACTTTTTCCCTCAGAGCTTCTCGTGGATTCAAAACCCCAGAGACATGCAGCCTCTGGGTTAGCAGCCCAACTTCCTACCAGCGACCAAAATCTACTGTCAGTGAGCTGGTTCTGACTCACAGAACCCTTCATTGGTTTCTAAGGCTGTAAATCCTATGAACGAAGACTGCCCATCCTTCCTCCTCAGCACTGGTGGTGGACTTTTTGGTTTAACAATCTGGTAACGTTACTCACTTCATCAGTGGGCTCCTTAAGCACAGTGGACTAAAATGAAGTCAACTGTCCTCTGCTAATTTAGAACGATTTAATGAAAGAACAAGAAAGGTAGTGGCAAACCTGACGAATATGCATAGTTAGCTGATGCTGTGTAGTGCAAATCTTCTCACACAGGGGACAGTTATAGGAAGACTTTTCTTCTTTAGTTTCCTAAGGGAGAGAAAGAGGCAAAGGGAAAATGAATTTCAAGTCACAGTAAAACAGTACCTGTCATTTCTGTCCTGAGCGCCTACATCTCAGGAGACATGGCTGACATGGCTGGAGCATGGGCTCTGTGGCTGCAGGGGCCTAAGTCTGCCCTTGATGTCCTTATTGGAAACAGTAACCTCAGCCACTCACATGGTGAGGATTTGACCAAGTTACACACATAAAACACCACGACAATGCCCGCTAGAAGTTCTCAAGGAACGTCAGCACCTGCTGCACTGACAGAATTCACTGCTGTAATCACTCTGTGATCAATATTAACTTATCATGGGATGCAGTCGGTCAACATTAAGGCTTTAGCTACGAAGCACTGGAGAAGCACTATATCCCTCCCAAATCTGATCTGGGTTCCACGATTTCTTCTGAGGTCCTACAAATACATTAAAGGACATGGCATGAAGTTCTTCTCAAACTAACACACCATAGTAAGGCAAGCAGTTTAGCTTCCCAGTTGTGCACCCAACAGATAGCAACAATGTCCCTAGAATCACTTCACATTGCCACCAGGGATGGGAACTGTGCCCGTCCAGACGTTGATGGGCATGGCTGCTATTCTACATGGTTACAAAGACACAGCTCTGTTTAAGGCGAGGAGGCGTGCTTCATGTTCTGTTAATCACTGCTTCCTTATTTTACTTTCCTGAAGAAAAGACAACCTCTTTCACTCACCCTACACTATAGGTCCTCTTTCTAAGCACTTTAAGAGCCACCTGATAAATGTGGACTTCTAGACCAGCTTCTCCTCAGGCTGGAGGAGTGGTGGTGCTGACCCCAGAAATATGTCACAACCAGAGACTGACAATTATCTGGGGGCTTTGGGAACAGCAAAATCAGGCAATCATGAGCACCTGAGTATAAGTATTATGTGGAGTAAGGCTGAACCCTGTACCATGCAAGCCAAAGCCACGAGAAAGCACTTGGGGACAATGCCAGTGCTGAGCACAGCAGGTGACCATGCTATCTGAGAAGGGAGGTGGGTAGCATCTCAATGGCGAGACCCCTGAGGGACAGGTTGTGTGTCAACAGACCTCTTCATACTGGAACTCGTCTGAATGCGTTTCTGTACTATACTGTATATACAAAAATATTAAAGAGTTGGTTTTTTTTCTTTCTCACTAAGACACAGCCACTACTATGGATCCCATTTTCTGAATGAGGAAACCAGGGTAGAGGGAGGTGAATAACTTGCCCCAGATCAGGAACTATTAAGAGCAGACATGGATTAAGACGCAGGCAGCTGACTAGAGCCCATGCCCTAAACCGCGAAGCCATGTGAGGCTGACCAAGAAAGAAGGACAAAGTCCAAGGTACAGACAGGAAACACCCTTGTGGTTGCTCATGAGTGATGATGGAAATAAAAGTGACCCAAGGATGGTGAAGACAAATGGCCCAACGGGCAGGCGGGAGGGCATGCGGTTGGGGAGGGGGGGGCGGCGAAGGCGGCATGCTCCTCCTGAGAGGCACACAGCATCACTGACCCAGAACACTTGGCCTCTTAAACGATCCTGAGAGTGAGGCATGATAACCATCTTCTCACTCAAATTTAACACTTTTAAGGATACACATTTCAAAACATGGACCACTCAGACATAATTAAAATAATCTTTCCAGTGTTACCTGGCTGTCTATAAGCTTTTATTCCTCCCCAGAGTATGAAGTGTGTATGTGTACTGGTGTGGAATGGAATCACACATTTTCAGCCCAGTTCTACAACTGGTCAAATGGAGCTGACCATGGTCACCAAATAACCACCAAAAGCAACACAAGAATAAAAACACTTGTTATATAATGAGGGTGTCTCATAGCTGGCCCAGACATCAGAGTTCAATCTCTCGATACTTTTGAAAAATTATTAGTAATCTTTAATATACACAGTGTTGTTGTTGTTGTGTACTGTCAAGTAGGAAGTGACTCATAACTGATCCTCCAGCAGGTTAAATTGCACAGGAGATTACCCATCTTTCTCCCACAGAGCAGTCGGTGGATTTGAACCACATGCCTTTGGGATTGCAATGCAGCTTTGTTACCATTAGGCCACCAGATATATAAACACTTTCCTTCCTTAAAGTTTCTGCTGAGTAGATTCCAAGTCACTGTGGCCCTCTAAGTTTCAGAGCAGAACTATGGATTTTTTTAGACGTAAATCACCAAGTCTTTCTTTTTGGCATCTCTGGGTACACTAGAACCGCCAAACTTTTGGTGAACAACTCAGTGTGACTCATACACCATGTACAATGGGTCAGCCTGCTGGCTTGAGTCCACCAGCTGCTCCAACTGAGGGCTACTAAGATAGAATAAATAGCAGAGGGTTTTGGTTTCTGGTGTGTGTGTACAAATACACGTACATGTGTGAGAATGCATATTCTTCTCAAGAATCACCAGCAGATTGTGACAAAATGTTAAATGCTAGCCGTTTATGTAACCAGCCAACCTCTTGAGGAGACAAATTAAGAAAGAAAGAAAGAAAGAAGAAAGCCATGAATTCACCTAGAAGGAGACCCCAGTCACTGAGCCACTCTTTCAGGTAGGCACCAGCTTTGGGGTTTATCATTAACTGGAACTCAAGCTTTCTCTCAGGCTGCCAGTGGTATGCTGCTTATGTGGCAGGGCGACAAAATCCAAGGTGGTTTTGGAGAAGGTCTGTTGACTCAGACTTAATTTCTTAAAACAAACCAGGAAAGAGATTGCGGCGGCTCTTGCCCCAGCTCTCTTGGGGACGTTAGACTAGCTCTGCTGGTGAGAAAAGCACACTTCCTGAGCTGAAAGATAAAATTAGCAGCTAATGTGATAACTAGCCATCCCATAATGAAACAATCTGGCAGCCTGGCCAGGCATCCATTGGGACTAATCTGTTCTGGAACTCTCTGGTTGCCCTGATGGGAGACTTCTCACTGCTCAGCCTTTCTACTCTGCTTTTAGGTAAGAAGCAGGACTCCTTCTCCTGGCCATTCTGTCCCCACTGTGTTGTGCTGGGGGTTTTCCCATTAAAATTCAATGGCTATGCAGTGCAACCTCTGGCCTGGACCTCCCTTCAAAAGCCAAGTGTATGAAGGAGTGGAGGAGGTGGTGAACATGCCTCTGTCACCTGCACCAGCTGCCTCCCTGCCACACCTGCAGGGCTATCTCCACAGGGGGGACAAAAAGGGTGGCCAGGTCTTGCTATGGCTGGAGCTGCTGCCTCTGAACAACTGGGGACAGACAGAGTTGGGACCTGTGCCAGCTGGGCCTCTGCTGGGGCCATGCTGTGCTATTTAAGGCAGCCCTCTGCCCACTGCTCCCACGCCAAGCTTTCCTAGTGGAGCTGGGGGGAGGAGGACATTGCTCTTGTGTGTCTTGTTCCTCACAGAACACAGGGTCCCTGGTGAGGACCTGACTGGTAGCAGGAGTGGGTTTACTTTATGAAATGGACTGATGGACAGACAGATGGATAGATGGATGGATGACTAGATGGGAGTGGAAGTAGACCTTTTCTTCACAGAGCTAGCTCTCCTTCTTGCTCAAGCCACAGCCACGCAGGCTGAGTATTGTCTCAGGTACTCATAGGAAGAGAGGAATGCAGCGATAAGGGGAAAAAGAGAGAGAAAAGCGATCAATGCCCTCATGGTGAACTGTCCTCTATCTGCCAAGCTTCTGTCCTGAGAAGGATGCATATCGAACATTCTCATACACACCTGGTAGGACCATCTTCTGGAGGGAGATGCTATATCAAAAGCCTTAATTAATGCTGTATTTCTAAGAACTAAGAGGAAACCATCACAGATGTGCCCAGAGATCTCTGCATAGGAACAGTCACTTTAGGACTATTAATAAAAATAAATTCACAAAATCCAAGAGGTTAAATTTCTACTCACCCCAGGCATCTAAATGAGATTACCACCCCAAGGTTTTGGAATCAGATAAACAAAAAATGAAATGTGGAGTGAAAACAGCCAATTCATATCATATAGATTCAGAGAAGAAATGAGATCTACTCACCCTCTGCCTCGATCCTCACCTTCTGTCAGTATAGCATGGGAATCATGTACACAGTGATTAAAAGATTCATGTTATTTCCCAATGGACTTGGGAAGGTAGTTGGAATAGGGATGAAAAAGGATTTCCAATCCCCACACCCTTGCACAGACACTTACAACAAGACTGATTCCCCAGGTCTCCTGACCTACTGCCCACCGAAAATTTAGGACTAAACAGCAACTTAAGTGGAATTCTCTGGAACCAAAATCTATTTTTCCAAGGATAAGAGGCTGACCAGTGGTTCCAGCATAAACACTTACTCGTTACCTAAAGACTCACACCAAAACCTCTAAGGCAGCAGCTTTGAAAATTCCATTAACCGGCTGTGTGATTAAGAAAGCACACTGGAGCAGATGACTTACACCAGTTCTCCACCTGGAAAGCTTGCATTCAAACCAAAGGATGGGGCAGAGAGAGATTAAAGGCAACACATCACAGCAGTGAAAACTTTCCCCATGAAAGGAAACTAACACAAATTGTGAAAAATTTGTTCTTGAGACCTTATTAGTGCCTCTGGGTATGTCTATATAAATCCTAACAAAGCTAAGATTCTTGTTGTAGAAAGATGGGACTCAAGGGAACATCCTTCTTCTTGGGTTCTCAGAGATGATCCCACCCCTTACAGCCACATGGCCGAGTCCATAGAAGCGTACCTGGTTCCTTCTGCCTATCCGATTCGGTCCTGGAGGCTTCGTGGGGGACTTGATGGCTGGGGCGCTACCGCCATTCTCAGCAATCTTCCCTCCACTCATCACTGCCGACATCATGGTGTTGATGGATGCTAAATCTGAGCCTTCCAAGCCAGGGGGCAAACTTGACGTCATTGGGACAGCCAGTGGTTCAAGCTCCGAAGAAGCCTTGGTCATAGAACTGAAAAGGGGAAACTGGTGATGTGACTGATTGCTATCAAGTTTAAGCTGAAGTCATGGCCAGGTAGCTCTAAGTCATAAAAGCCTGCTTTCTTCCATTTAAACTGGTGCTTGCCCACGGTCATTTACTACTATGTGAATACCCTATATCTAAACACAAATGAAGAGAACTTTACAGGTCCACTTCTCCCCAGTGCTGTAATGATCACAGAGAACTCAAATTTTCTAAGGCAACAGGGAGAGAATGGCAACCAAGTGTCCAACTGACATAGGAAGGACTATTTCTTTTACAGGACAATTAAGTGATAGACACAAATAAGAGGAAAGATAGGACAAAAGAAAATTCCACCCCTCACTGCCAATTACCTCCATTTTCTGTCCGAATGGATACACTATAGGACTTCCCCCTGCTATAGGTATCATCCGTGTGTAGTGGCAGAGAGTCTGTTTATGCCTTTCTGTTCTTCTCTGGGTGCCACCTGTTGACACTGGAAAGAGAGCAGTAGTTAAAAGGTTTGGTGAATGTTGTTCCACTTACTGCAGAAAAAATGGAAATCTCTGATTTGCTAGAACCTCCGATTCTGTATTCAAGGAGGTTACGTGAAGAGTGATGTTTAAGGCTCTTTTCATCCTGAACCACATTATAGTTTTTCAAACTTAGTATCCCTACGGTGCTGTCACTCTCATTCCAAAGACCCAAGAAAGAGCTCATGGTATTTAGCCTTCTTTCTCTCTCTCTCTCTTTCAGCCCCCCTTCCCCTCCCCCACAGGAATTTTCTTTCATTCTGTACCTCTTTTCTGTCTAACTACCTTTTCATTCTGTACCTCCTTTCTGCATGACCTACCTCATGTCTCTCCTCTAAACTTGATCAAAGACAAGGCAGTTATAAGATTCACTAAAGCTCAGTCCAAAAGGCATAAAATCACATTGAAAAGAAATTGGGAAGATATATAGAATGACCAAAAGGAGATCTCTGACACTACATAATCTACTTCTTCATTGATTCTCTGCAATCTTAGTAGAAGTACTACAGCTATAAGAATGGCCAGACATATGTCTACAGAGACAAGATCTCCCTCTTTGCATCTGGGAAGATAGAGCTGAAATCCTGCCAGTTAAGTCACATATCCTATTGTTCCAAAGTAGGAGTTAGTTATGTCCAAAACAGCAGTAGGAGATTACAGTTCATCATGTCCACCAGTAAAGCAAATGCTGGTAAAGACACAAGGGGAAAAAAAAAGACACAAGGGAAAAAAAAGCATTTTTTGTGGTGTCTCCTCAAACTTGAAGGAGCATGAGTGAGAGAGGATGTAACAAAGAACTCAACTTACTGCCGTCAAATTGGAACAAACTCATAGCTGACCCTCCACTGGGTATGCAGAGACTGTAAACGGCACAGGAGGGGATAACTCCTCTTTCTCCCACAGAGAAGCTGAGAGATTTGAACCTTTGGGGTGGCAGCACAACTCCCTGTTCACTAGGCTATCAGAGCTCCCCACGTAACAAAGAACTGCACCCACATCAGCTCTGAATGCTCATCCTTCCAGCATCACAGGAGAAGCCTGGAAGCAGAACTCTACCAAGATGGGCACTGCTGGCTGAAGTCTCCAAATGCTAGCAAATGACAATCTTAGGAGCTGTGCTTTCCTTGTCTAGATACAGAATGTACTTTCCTTTCTCTGTTCATAGGTATTTTGAACCCAATGATTTATGACTACTGTTTCAGCCTAACCCATCCGCTTTACCCATCAACGAAGTAAAGCTATGCCAAAATTAAGGAAAAAAATCCCTCAAAACGAAAACCAAACTACTGGCTTTCCACTCATTTTCCCCATGCCTGAAGAAAATATCTATTTAAAGCTTTAGGTTTCTCTCTGCCTTTGAACGTTTATCTGGGAGATCACTTAAACAATAAAACCAAACCTACACACATTTGTATATAATCTACACACATATTACTGTTTTCCTCAACAGATTTCTTATATAAGTATTAACATTTGCATTTAATTTGCATGTTATTACCAGATTCTAATAAATGGATATTTTCTATTTAGAACACTAACTTAATCTCATGCGTTTAAAATACAACTCTTCGTAATTTTAATGCATAGTAAATAATAAAGCAACGGTTACAAAACCTACTGAAGCTGCTAGGTCAGAAAAAAAAATTTCTCTATCAGTGCATACTAAGGGCTTAGAAGACGATGTTGCTTTTGTTCTTTGGCTACATTCAAAGAAAAATATGATGCAGGTTACTCAAATCTGGAAACAGGTAAGTATACATACCTTTAGGATTAATATAAAATGATAAATAAGATATTATATTAAAATCATAACTATTATATATATACACACACACACACACACACACACACACACACACACACACACATTCTACAAGTCTACCTACAGATGTCTCAAAAGAAAAAAATGGATGATCTAATTGCAAAAACCAAATCATCCAGGGGAGTTGAGAAACACCTCAACTGCTTGCCCTGGAGTCAGAAAAGACTCAGCTGACCATCAGAGGGTTTTCAGAGGCAAAGAAGAAGGCTGCCCATCTTTCTCCTGTGGAGTCACTGGTGGATTTGAATTGCCAGAGGTGCCACCTTTGGGTTCACAGACCAACTCCCTATCAAGTATACCACCAGAGCCCCCACACCTAAACATGGACACACTAACACAACCAGTAAACCCAAAACTCTGTGCCTTTGAGTCCATTCTGGCTCACAGCATCCCTGAAGGACGGAGTAGAAGTGTGCAAAGGTTTCCGAGGCTGTAAATGTTTACAGAAACTGCTTCTTTTGTCTCCTACACAGTGGTTGGTAGATTCAAACCACGAACCCTTTCAGTTAGTAGGCCAATACTTACTCCTCTGTGCCACAAGAGATCCTTAGAGTCACACTCCTGGTAGACTTTTTCTCAGTCATTTTTAACAGTGACACATGCTTGTAGTTCCCTTAACTGTCTTAAATACAGAAAACCTAGCACATCACTGTGGAGTCCTGTGGCACAGTGGTTCATGTGCTCGGCTGCTAAACAAAAAGGTCAGAGTTCAAATCCACTGTAGGTCTGTGGGAGAACAGGCTTGTGGTTCCTTGGTGACCTAGAAGCCCTAAGAAGCAATGTCCCACCCTGTTGTATGTAGTAGCAGCCTCACAGAAAGAAGGAATCCGAACACCCAACAGTGTATGACAATGATAACAAGCAAGGAACCATCACTGACTCGCAGGAGGGCTGGAAGGCCAAGGACTTGCCCAAGCTGGAAATGGAGAAAAGCCACACAAAGCAGATGGCTTCCATTCTGTGAAGAGGAAGACAATGCTATGTTTATTCCCCTCTGGGATCAAGTGCAAAGTGTGACACCACAAACTGACATTGCAAGAGCAAGAGCCCCTGTACTCACTCCTGTTTCCTTTTTTAAATAAATAGCAGGCTTAAAAAAAAATAATATCAGAGAAGTCTTGCATCTCTGACCTGAGGGAAGTGACTGACAAAACAAAACTCCCAGCAACACTGTTTAGAAGGGACAGGTTGTCCAGCCCCTGAATTCAGGAGAATTCACTCCAATTTGCTTTTATGCCTTCATTTGGGCTCTCTCTTTTGTGAATGTGGAGCAGGAAAGAAGGGAACGAATCAGATATGAAGTACAAGGTAGTTCCATGGAGCTGTTATGAAGACAGATGAAGCAATTTCCTGTCAGAAAGAGTTTGGTGGTGGTGTTGTGTGATGTTGGGTTTGAGCTGACCCTCCAGTGGGTTTTCAGAGGCAGGAAACTTCACCGGGAAGACTGATTGCCTATCCTTCTCCCTAGGAGCAGCTGGTGGATTTGAACCATATACCCTTGGGATGACAGCAGAGCTTCTTATCACTAGACCACTAAAAAGAGTAGAGCCTTGGAAACCCAATGGAGGGTTGGTTCACCCTGAATCAGAATTGGATAGATGGCAATGAGTAAGTATAGTATGATTATTCTTTCTATACCATGTGCATAAACACATTAAGGAGAAAAAAAAATCCCTATCAACAACAACAAAATCTCAAAATAGGCAGCTGTGGTAACCTATTGGAAAGGAGTTGTACTGCCAGACCAAAGACACTGGGCTCTAATCCACCAGGTGCTCAGAGGGGAGAAAGATAGGCAATCTCCTCCAGTGCAATTTACTGCTTCGGAAAATCCACTAAAGAGCTGCCAGTTGGTTCTGACTCAACAGCACACACCACCACCACCATCACAACAAGTCTCATAATTAAACAAACCCTAAAGAAGAACAAATCAAAACCACAGGCTGCTTTCTAATACAACCTCTCCACCTAGAATCAAGAGAGGACTAGGGACCAATATCACAGATACAAAACCATCTTCTACATGGAAGTCACCCTGCAGGCTGGCTGCTGGGACAGATTCTAACACAAAAACCCCCAGATTTGGAGCAGGGAGAGGGGTGGGGAGGGAAAAGAAAGGAACCAGGCCTCTAAAGCATTGCTTCTTGTGAGGCCAACAGTCAGCATCCTTCTGGGATTTCTCATCCCACACCACAGACTTGTTACATCAAGAATGGCTATTTAAATGCAATGTGAGCACAACTGCACCAAAGCTCCTTCTCAGGAGGCTCTGAAAAAGGGGGGTGGGAGTGGACTGGCAATTCAGCAGGAATGGAGTTAGGGTGAGGGAGGGCAAGGTATGGGGAGAGTCAGCATTCCATTACTGTGGCCGAGAATCAAGAACGTTCAACTGACCTGTACTCACTGTCTTATCAGGCAGACTCTCCTGTCTGAGGTGCTGGCACAGGCTGGGCCTAAACGCGGGCAGGGTCACACCTCAAAGCCACCACCTGGAGAGCACAGATGTGGAGCAACCTGCAGGAGTGAGAAGAGGGAGAGTTAAAAGAAGATTGAGTCCAAAACTGAGCCCACCCTGGTGTATGCTGCACCCATTAAGAACACCTAAACCCAAGCCATGGCTTCACATGGATATGGATTCCGATTCACTCA